CAGTTTCAGCTTTTTAAATTAAATTGTAATGTAAAATTTTGCATAAGAACCTGTTATGTACAAATTGTATGCTAATGTAGACGAAAACAATGTATATTATTAACAGTAACCCTTCGTACGCACAGTGACGGTAGAGTGTTATGCTAGGCCTAAGTAAGGCGGCCGTCAGCCCTAGTAGAACACAGTAGTGTAGTACTCAATTCGTAAAGTTTAATTTACCAGTTAGTATTCCCTAATCGATTTTGCTTTTCGATCAAAGCATGGTCTTCAGGTGTTTCGTGTTCAAAATCACTTTCTAGTGGCTCAAATTGATATGACTCAAACTGCTCCATTTCTTTGCTTGCTTTCCTCTTTCATGTGTCGCGCTATACGATTTCGGTATTGCTGTGGATGTTATACCGAGTGTACGTCATCAGCTCTACTCACGCTTCACTGACCATCTTCAGTAGGCGGGGCTTATACGAATATTTTTAATACTAATTTTTAAAATTTATAAACCAAAAAATAAGAATTTTATTACTACTCCTTTGATAAACATATGCAATACTTCAATTATCAGCAATATCATTTTAAGAGATTTTTCCGGAATGTGGAGATAGATGGCGATTGTCTGCAGGCTAAATTGAGGTTGGTCCATAGCAAGGGGGTATTGTGAAAAAATGAAAAATGCAGTGCATTAGTGCGTGCCGGAGATACATGGAGTGTGGGATGTGGTTTGCGCGTATTAAAAGATAAGAAGGAGGTAACCGAAAAGTTAACATAGCCATGAATATTTTTGTAAATGAACATAAGGCAAAGGAAATCTCTTCTATCTGTAAGAGATAAGAGGTTAAGGTGAGTAAGGCGATCCGTGAATTGAATGTATCCGGTTTGGTGAGGGAATCGTAAAGTTTTTAAAAAATAGCGAGTGAAGTTTCTTTGAACGGTTTCAATATTTTCAATATTTAATTTTGAGGATTCCAGACAGTGCACGCATATTCAAATAATGGCCTACTAAAAATTAAAAAAAAAAACAAGAGAAAGAGGATGTTGGCCACAAGTGCGTTTAATTAAATTAGGTGTGGGCAGTGCTTTTGAAGTAATGCAACTTATATGTGCGTTCCATTTAAGGTCGGATGAAATGGTAACTCCAAGGTATTTGTGCGTGGTAACTAAGGACAGAGGGGTGAAATTTATGGTATAGTTTGAATGGACATTTTTCTTTCTAATGATACACATGGTTTTACATTTGCTGCAGTTAAGGGTCATGCTATTAAAATGGCTCCATTGAAATATGTTATTAAGGTCATTCTGGAGGGTGGTATGGTCATTAGTGCTTCGGATGGGTCTCTAGATAAGCGAGTCGCCTGCATATAGGAACATTGTCGTACCGGGAGAAATTGATGAAATTAAGTCATTAGTAAGTATAATAAAGTATAAATGTCCCAGTATGGAGTCCTGAGGTGCTCCAGATGTCACGGTAACAAAATTTGAAATGCTGCCTTGAAAACGGACACATTGAGATCTGTTAGTTAGGAAGTGTTTGGTCCAAGACCACAGTTGCCTTGAGAAACCTATGGCATGTAACTTAGATAGGAGAGTGTGGTGGCTCACTTTGTCAAAAGCATTACTCTAATCTAAGAAGGCATGAATATTGCAAGGTTTAGCTTTGTCAAGTTCTTTGGCCCAATGATGATAAACTTGGGTCAAGAGGGTTGAACACGAGTAGCCTTTACGGAAACCAAATTGAAAGGGTGAGAAATTGGAATTAGATTCAAGAAAATTATACACATGGTTATAAATTAGGCGATACAGGATTTTACAGATGACAGATGTTAGTGCAATTGGGCGGTACATTTTGATGTCCATTTTTTCACCAGTACCTTTGTATATGGGGGACACACATGAGGTTTTCCAAGCAGTGGGGATGACCCCAATGGAAAGGGTAAGGTTAAATAAGTCGGCATCAAGAGAATAAGAAATGACATCTGCTATGGGTTTAAGGGTTCTAGCAGATATGCCATCAAGACCAGGTGAGCTATTATTTTTAAGCTTAATAATAATACTATGGATAGACTCAGGAAGTATGAAAAGGTCTTCCATAGGTGAGTTATGTGCAGGATAATCAGAGTAAGTTGGCAATACACGTTCATCAATAGTAAAACATTGTTTAAAATAAGTATTAAAAGCTTGACATACGTTAGTGGATGACTGTAATAACACCCTCATACATAAAATCAGATGGAGGGCTGACATTCTGTTTATTCTGAACAAATGACCAGAATCTCTTAGGATTGGATTTGAAATTTTCTCCAAGCTTATCTAAGAATAACCTATACTATTTCTAGTAAGTTGACGAAGCTTATTACGAATTTTAGTGAATTTTTTCCAATGAATGCTTTCTTTACAAGCACCTTTAAAAAAAAAATTTCTATAAAGATATTTTTTCTTATGTGAAAGATGAACAATATCTGAGGTTATCCATGGATTTCTTGGCCTACCCTTGTACTTAATACGGGGGACAGCAACGTCAATACATTTTTGGAAAATATTTGACCAACATTCCCATAAATTGTCTACAGAAGAGCATTTGAACATATCATTCCATGGAGCATTTATAATATTATGTCGTAGTTGAACAAAATCAGCCTTTGTAAAGTCATATCTATTTTGTTGGTAATTATGTTTACAATAAGGCAATGGTAAGTTAAGTGTAATATTTATTGACAGGTGATCAGATGTTCCCAAAGGATGATTCACAGAACAATCGGATACAAAACTGATATCGTTACATAAAAACAGATCTAATATATTTCCATAATCACCATTACAGTTAACAACTGGAAACATATGGGTAGGATACTGTACCAGTTGAATAAGCCCTATTAAAAACATTAAGTATAATTTGAGTACTGTAGTATTATTGGTATAAATAACATTCTCTTTCCAATTGATGGAACTGAGGTTGAAATCACCAGTAAAGAAAATAGCAACAGCCAATAACAAACTTTCTTTTGTCACATGTGAAAGATACCCATATAATTTCAGCAATGGAGGGTGTAGAAACTAAAGATGGTCTTAAACTATTTTTAACTGAAATTAACACACCCCCACCTCTAAGTCAAAAAGTTTATTTTTAATGCTTCTGCAGTTAGTACTGTAGAGTTTAATGAAGCTAGATGAGGCAAACTGGTTGAGCGATGGTGATCATGATGACGATGATGAGCTTTCACTTGAGTTTTTTTTTCAAAAAAAGAATCTGAAAAGTCAGGCAGACGACAGCGAAGACAGTTCCAGTAGGTTTGATTTGATGAGTGGAACTTAAATTCATTAATAGTGAGTCCACTGCAGACACGATGGGAGCATTGATTACAAATATCACAATATATTCCAAGCTGATTTTCTGTTAGGGAGCCTCGCAAAATAAAGCAACGCGTATACGAGTGGACCACGCAATGCGATTAAAGGCAGTTTAATCCCATAGTTGGCCACGCGTTGGGATTATTTCCCTGGGCTACTCCACTTCGTAGTGGGGAATTGATAACAGGCTTAGTGTAAAAACCCAATTAACACAAACAAAAACGTCTTGTATAAAAATAAAGCGTTTCTTTACCTTTTTTAAACATCTACGTAACTATCATCAGTAGGCCTATGTATACATTTAGGTTCATTTAATTTCTTAAGTACATTATTAACAACTTTTAAAGGGTACCCATTCCAAGACATACTTCCTTATGTTACTAAGCTTTGTTTGAAGTTTAATTATCAGGAGTACACAATCTGTGGGCTCTAGAAACTAAACTACGAATCCAGGAGATTTTATGGTTCCATGGAGCAAAGCTGTCATAATGGACATATTGACCTGTATGTGTATTTCTACGATATATACTCATGCTTCCTACACTGTTGTTAAATTGTAAATCCAGAAAGTGTACTGTGTCACTGTTTTCAAATGATTCAAAAGTAAAATTTATCTGTCTATGAAAAGCATTGAAGTAGCTTAGAATTTGCGGGAAATCATTGGGCTTAACTAATAATAGCGTGTCGTCAACAAAACGAGTATAAAACTTAATAGTACCTGATTTAATAAGTTTAGGAACAATAGGCTCTTCTAGTTGAGTCATTAAAATATTAGCTAAAACTGGGCCAAGAGGCGAACCCATTGAGACACCATCAGTAAACTCATTGTTTGTGGTGTTTACCAATACCGGATTGAATTTCTGGAAAATTGTGATTCCGCTTCCTTGAAATTGGCCACAAATAAGTTTTATAGAGGAACTAGTTTCTATAGAATTCTATAACATACTATATACACATATTTAATGTAATTTCTATGTTTTTAATTTTTTTTTTGTTTCATTCAATATTTTATTGACACATTCGTGTCTGACTAGTATACTCCTACCAACATGTTTTACATCTTGCATATTCTATAGAAATTCTATAGAATATTCTATACAAATGATATGACAAGTTCTCTATAATAAAACTATAAAATTTCTA